CGTAATATTTGACATGGGGTCTTCCTATATGGTACTAAAGAGGGCTACATAGTTTTCTAAATTTAAAAAAATGAAGCGGAGTTGCCCTTTAACGCGCCCAATGTCAGCAGAGAGGGGTAGAGGAAGTGCCCTCCTAGAGAGCACAGGGGAAATTACACGGCACCCCGAATTACGTCACTAGGAGGGGACCATCTGTGGCCCTGAAGACTGGGAGTGAGTTGAGGGGCGCCAGATATGCCAATATTTATCTTTTTTTTTTTACACAACAACGAGGGCACGCAGGCGAAACCGGTTTTCTGTACTTTACTTTATAAGTGTCAGAGGGCAACTTCCACAAATGTTTGACCGAAGTCCGGAAATCGTGGCACCCCCCCCCCCCCCCCTCCCCTTTTAAAGGAGTCATGAAACGCTTTTTTACTTTTTTCTGTTTAGCTTTCCTCCTCAACTCATAAATCGCGCATTGTAGCAAACAGTTCAAGAAGTCGGAAAGAAGGGAGTCCCCTCTTGCTCGGAATCTCGCTTGTGTAGCCCGGACACAGCCATTGTGCCCCTAGAAGATTAGCCCGTCGCTCAAAATTCCGACTATAGACCTTTTCCACAAGGGCGCCGCCATCTTGAATTGTCGTCACTTCCAGTATGGGCGAAAACGTAAATTTGCCGTTGCCACGCCAATAGAAGACATTTAGGATATAAGCCTGACCGTCACACATTCCCGTTTTGGCTCCACTCTATTTTTTTACTGGTTACAGGTTGAAACGTTTTACTATTTTGTCGTCGCCCATACTGGAAGTAACGACAATTCAAGATGGCAGCGCCCTGTGGAAAATGTCTATACTTCGTTCCAGCTTCGGTCCGAGCGCGACCGATGCTATGAGCCGAAGGGCCAATCAAACAGCGCAAAAAGCGCAGCGTCATGGCGTGCTCTCTGCGCTTGATAAGGCTAGTCGGCGGAGGAGCACGCACAGAGAGACGGCGAATAGCGGCTGGGCCTATCAACTGCAGAGAGTACGCCATGACGTTGTGCCTGTTTCGCTGTTTGATTGGCCCTTCGGCTCATAACATCGGCCGCGCTCGGACCGAAGCTGAAACGAAGTATAGTTGCTTTCCCCACCCCGTTCACCCCGAAGCTGACAGTGCTGTGGAAGCTACGTGCTCGTTGGGCCAGCCACACATTTTCCACGTGATCACGCCCTCTCGCGCATACTGACCCGCAGAGAATGAGGGCAGGTGATGAAAGGGAGGCGGCTGATTGGCCCGGCAAGCGCGTAGCTTCCATCGCAATGTCAGCTTAGGGGTAAAGGGATTAAGTGAGGTCCGGTGTCGTGTGACGTGCGCTTGGGCCCTGGTGACGCGCTGCGGGGGCCCGGTTATGGTGGCTAGTAGCCCGGTGACGCGCTGCGGGGTCCGCGGATGTATCACAGTGAAAAGGCAGAGAGTTTACGAAGGGAAGGAGGTACGAAATAGTCCGCTATGTTTTGCAAATTTTTGTTGCGAAAGTCAGGCTTCTGACTTTCTACCTTTGTTCTTTTGGCCCTCTGAACGATGTGCTATTAGTAAAATCCCAATATAAATTGATTTACTCCAGCCCAAAATTCGTTTCATGGGTCCTTTAAGATCAGAGTTGGGTAATTTTATTCTTATTTATTTCTTTTTATTCCCTAACCGCCTCCGTGACAATCTCTCCGTGTGTATCGGACCGTTTCTGTGCCTTCACTTTTGTGTAATACGAAAGTGAAAGGGCCATTCCCTGGTGATTATATACAGCTGAATGATTTTATAATATAAATAAAGAGCGTGTTTTGGGCTCTCCATAGACATAAAAAATATTGATGTAACCCAAGTAGATCGCCAGTATTTAATTGTCAAAGTTCATGAACGATTAACCAGCGGGGCGTTTTTGACATTTTTACAGAAAAAAAAACGCCTAAAATTATTTCGTGGCATTAGAGCCTCTTTTTTTTTTTATCTGCACTCACAGAGTGCTTGAAAAGAATTTAATATAATGTGGACTGAAAATCCAAGGCGGGAGATCGAGCGAAACATCCGACCCACGACGGATGTGAAAAACACTGCTTTCCGCCGCGGCCTCTTTTAAAATGCGTAACTCGAGAACAAAAAATCCGACGAACTTTCGGTTTGTGGCGACTGTGTTTCTAGTAAAACATATAAAATAGCGCAACAGAAACAAGGACAAGAAGTAAACAGGACAGGCGCTAACTTACAACTAGTTTTATTCTGGAAAATCGAACACATATATACACACGCCAGGCAAAGCAGCACCACGTAAAAGTTGATTAATTTTTCATCCGATCATTCAAAAACTGAAATTCATTACAATGAAGAACAATAGAAGTGTCGCTGACGCATGCCGTTCCACTTTTTTTGATAAAGAAAGCTTCCAATAGCTCTCGAGCGACCGTCTCTCGGCTTCTTCCTAGTATCCGCATCTGCTGAAGTCGCAGAACACAGCCACACGTGTTGCAATGTATGGGCAAATGCGAGCCATATTTATTTTTTACTGATAATGCGTGCTCCCGTGCTCGGTCATTGATGCACCGCCCCGTCTGGCCAATGTATACCTTTCCACAACTCAGGGGGATTTCGTAGACCACACCCACTGTGCAGTCCACGTAAGGGGTGACGTGTTTTTTGTCACACGGTGCTTTTGCCTCCTCATCAGAGATGCGGGCGCACAATCCAGCCAACTTCTTTGGGGCAGAGAATACAACTGGAACATCGTACTTGGTTGCAACTTTCTTCAGATTGTGGGCAACCTTGTGTATGTACGGAATGACCTCTGGTCTTTTTGTTCTCTGCCTCGTTGGGACCTTTCTTTTCAACCCCTTCATTTTTTGTAAGGCGGTCTCCGCCACAGAAACCAAGACCGAACACGGGAAGCCAGCTAATTCCAATCTAGAAATTTGGTATTTAAAACTAGCATCCGCCTGATGGTCACAAGACCATCAGGCGGATGCGGATGATGTAGAGGCGACGCCATTACATATATTTTTTTTTTCAGCGAAATTACAAATTTTATTCTTTTTGCCTGCACGATTTGAGATGAAATCACCCATACATGTACATATATAATGTTTTTTAGACGCTTGGAGACTCGAGCAAATTTTACGGAGGAGTGAGGAGTCCGCCCAATAACAGGAGATAGCGACAGGAGCAGTGACAGCGATCTCTCCGGTGGTGACGAAGACGGGATTCTAGCGCATCTTATTCCTTCCGCGATAACAGCCAATGAGTGCTCCGACAGTGAGGAAGAAAGCGCGAATGAAGCTGTTCCAGCAGTAGTGAGCGCCAGGGGCAATAGAGACACACACAAAAGCGCCCCGAAGTTGAAGAAATGCTGGAAAGGGATCCAAAAGAAATCGAGTTCATCGGGGATGTAGAGCTACCGTCCAGTATCATGCATGAAACCGGATGTTCTATTTTAGCTTTCTAAATCTTCGCAACGATGTGTGAGGTTTACTCAATGATGTGTGAGGAGACCACGCTCTACTCAACTCAATGCCGTCCTGAAATACCTGTCTCAACAACGGTAGATGAAGTTGAAAGCGCCATTACCGAAGCTCGAGCATCGGACACGACAGGTTTCAGAAGCGATGAGCGTGAACCTTTGAGAGGAACTGAAGCGGTTTCTACATTTCAACAATAAAGGCAAATATGTACCTCTATGGTGAAGATGAGCACGTCAAGTTACACAAGGTGCGACCACTGCTTTACATCGTACGTCAGCAGTTCAGCCGAGTGTCAAAAGAAGAAAAGCTTTGCGTTAATTGGTGATCAGGTCGTGCCCTTCAAGAGACGCAGTTCGCTAAAGCACAACCCCAAGAAGCCACATCGCTGGGACTACAAGGTGATTGTGCCGAGCGGGGTATCCGGCTTCGGCTGTGACTTTGATGTGTTCATCGGTGCCGTGGGCAATAAGTAGCTCCCAGGTGAACCCGACTTGGGTGCAAGCAGCAAGTTGGTCATGAGGCTGGCCCGCATCCATTCCTAAGCATGTTCGCCACCAGCTCAACTTTGACAACTGGTTTACGTCTGTTGCTCTCCAAGTAATTTTTTAAAAAAAGGACGGAGTCCACTGTTTCGGCACTGTGCGGCGAAACCGACTGCCTAGCTGCATACTTCCAAAAGAAAGCGAAATGAAAGAGAAAGGAGTTTATGAAGAAATGATGTGCGAGGGGTCCGGTACGGAACTCTCAGCAGTGGAATGGCGTGACAATAATACCGTCGCCCTGCTTTCCACTTCTGTCGTTAGTGAACTTGCAGGCCAAATCAAACGTTCATTCACAAAAGAGTAGACCCAATTAATAATTGGGGTTGGGGGATAGTTAGACAGCGTGTAGTTGGTCAGCCAGTGCAGTACAACCGCTAGCCTGGGGTCTTTAACGTGCACCACGCAGTAGTGATACACGACCGCACGCCGGTACGATGCTCATCCAGATCGAAACGGGCAGGGGTGGGGATTGAACCTAGAATCTCTGGGTTCTGCAGCGCGGGGAAAGACACACAATATGCATATCTCTACGTCCGCTAGAAGAGCCAGGCATTCACCACTGTCAGGCCCACCAAATGAAAACAAATATGTGAAGATACCACTTTTTCGATCGAATTTTAATTCAATAGCAGCCCAGGATCTAGTCAAAAAGGTCTACTCCGCTCATGTGCATATTATTTTTGAGTTTAACGCTTGAGCAGGGCACCATCTTGAAGATGGTGTTCTGTCCAAGTGTTGTTCTTAATTCAATTGTGTCCGCTTCCAAAAAAAAAAGAGAGTTTCTTTGTGTTTAATAAATATGCTCATAACCACATGTTGTATCATATATGTTACGTGACATCATCGTGGAAATAAAGTCAGAGCCGTGTGATTTCGCTGAAAGCTAAGACTGGTTTGGTTCTTATTGTCATTATTTTGTGTAATTGTATGTTGTTCTTACTCCGATAATTCGAAAATGCTAGCTTTCCCAAAGCAAACAGGAATCGCTCACGTTGCAAATCTTGATCGGCTCGTAGCTCGAAGCAGTGTTGTCGCTGCTCACGTCCTTGAAGTGGTACGCCCCGATGAACAAAGATGGGCAGAGCGTAATTGATGGTGATGGGAAGGTGCTCTTCATTGTTTTCAGTGACTCTGCCTAAAGATTGACAGGTAGGCGCATTACTCGTAGTAAATTACTCTAAAGTTACAAAATCTTCAACTTTTTGACAAGGACTCTGGACTTTAAGGAAAATTCATTTGGTCACGTACGTGCGCTCCCGTAGATCGGATCGTAATGCCAACGCAAACGCTATTTCCAGTGACTGTTCCTGGAGACCTGACAGGTAGGCGCATTACTGATAGTAAATTACTTCGAAGTTACGAAATTTTTAACTTTTGAGAAGGACTCTGACTCCAAGGAAAATTCATTTAGCCACATATGTGTGCTCCTGTGGATGGGAACGTAATGCCAACGCAAACGATATGGGACCACTCTCAGTTTCGCCGAGGTACTCACCAGGCGGGAGTAGGGGTTCGGTACACCAACATCGTATTTTCTAAGACCTGGCGTCGGGATGTAGTGTGTGAAGATGGTGCTCGCTGTGGTCTTCCTGTGTGAGAACACGTACATATCATCGCCTCAGGCAAGCCTTCCGTGTCAATCGAGTGTGTATCACAAAGCGGCCAAGCTGCGAAAAAGCACCTTAAGACTGCCAATCTCTCCGCTGCCATTTATTTTTCTCTTTTTCTCTTTCGCTCACTCTCTTTCTACTCCTCAAGGCTGGTCACATACTTGCGTTTGAATGTAACGGACCACGTTCAACCACTAACGCCGTCTATCAGGAAGTCATGTTACGCTTTCTGATCTGCGCATACCCAGACTGAAGGTTTTGCAATATTTGCGAGATCATACATAAGCACTATATATTTTTGAGAAAGGCTCGCTCGTAGCGCTGTTGCCATCATTTCAAGCCCCTGATAAAAGAATGACGCGTAAAAGGAAATGATTAAATTTGCGCAGATCCTAGGTGTTCCAGGGCTGCCCGATAGATGGCGCCGGCGTGTTCTCTCGTCCCAACGAGGTAGAGGGGCTTAGAGCGATAAACCGGGGTTCCGGTCTGCACTCGAAAGTGACCCCCATAAGGAGGCTGCCATTGTACGCAAATTTGACCACACGTCACATGACCAAACCAAATACGTGACGTCAGAGGAAAGATGGCAGCGCCCATGCAGCGGCTGGCCCCAGCTGGGCCGGAGCTTGTCGGATGCTTTGTTGGTTGTCGTTCGTCTCGGCGCGTTGATTTCAGACGCGGAAGCCGTCATATGAGGCCGGTCGAAAGCGAGTTCAGAGTTCAGCGTGGTGTTTGACGTAGGTATAACGTGAAAATACGGAGAAACGGTGTGCATTTCGCTGGTGACCGACCGGGATATTGCCACGAGAGACAATCTGACCTACGTTGCTCGGACCTCGGATTGATTCGGATACCGCTAGGATAAAATTTAAGGCGACGTTTCTGTGCTCTCGTTGACCATCGGAATCTTCGAGGTTTGCAGTGAAGCGTGTGCAATATATTTGGATACACAGTTTAGCGACGGAAATTGCGTGAGTCGTGCTTGGCGGTGTGCAATCGCGGTGCAGCTTCGATCAAATGACCGAGGGCTCACTTCGGTTGTGCGGCGCACCGGAAGGCTGCCTTGAAGCTGGTAGTTCCCGTGCCGTGCTGAATGATGCTGTGCTGCTTACAAATTGTTGCGGCGTAGAAGTGCACTTTCACGGAGCTCAGGTGTGCGGCGCACCGAAGAGCTGCCTTCAAGCTGGTAGTTCCTGTGCTATGCTTTAGGTGATGCTGCGCTGCTTCCGAAATTGTTCTGGCGTAGACGTGCACTTTCACGGAGCACAGGTGTTGCGGTTGGTATTGATCCCGCTGGTCTGTCGCACGTTTCGTCAACACAAACGTTTCATCCACACTCGTTACGCGAATCGCAAGCTGTCCGGACATTTCACCGAGTGTGTTACGTACCCAGCTCACGCTGCTTTGTGGCAACAGTCTGCAGTGGCTCATTACCAGAAAAGTGGTCCCACATCCATTTCAGTTCAGTTTGTCCACGGCAGTCGCCAAACCCCGAAGGAGAGGATTTATTCGGACAGAATGCCACTAAAGCAATGCAGCTTCTTCAGTGGTCAGGATAGATTCTCTTCTGCTAGTTTTGTTATACTGTCACGGATCCTTGTTCCAGTCCTATCTTCTATCAATATTCACTATTCTGGGACACTGCAGGTCATGCTCAGCTGTAATCGTTTGTTCCGGTGGAGGTGCTGGGCACTTTACCCGTAGCCCTTCACTCTGTGTGAACCCGGCGGCTCTTCAGCCGAGTTACCCGATAATGGGACACGGCTGGCGGACTATTCTGCGTCTTATACCCCTGTCGAGCCGTAGGCAAAGTCCTGACCCGAGCCTGGCAGAACAACCGCAAGACGGCCGAGTACCACAAGGAGTAACCTCGGAAATACACCACGAAGCACCTGAAATCCGAGCCAGTTGCTGCTACCAGGAAAAACCACCGGAATTCGGTCTTCTGTCAGAAAATCCGAAGCTGACTAAGCCAACAATGACAAACCTGTAGCAGCAAACCGTGTCCCCTCCCACCATTGTTTGCATGCCCGTCGCAAATCACACTCCGACGCTTTTTCACGCAAGCTGTATGAAGACGTCAAGGACTGGATTGAACAATATGACAGTGTCGCCCGCCACATTGGGTGGACAGACAACCAGCTCCTGCAGAACCTATACTTCTCGTGGAAGCAACTGCCGGCGCTGGTCTGGGAAGTTTGCAAGTCAAGCTGAAGCGCGCATCCGTCAGCCAACATCAACGAAAGAGAGCCGCATTCTTGATTCTGTCCAGGACACTGCCCTAATGAGAGCGCCACCACACTCGTGGAGGATGTTTTGCGCTTGATCGAGCGCCCACGTCCACGCCCATGCCAACCTTGATGCTACAGAAGACAAGAACCTAAGAATCCCATGCACCTCACGTGAGGGACAACACCTTCGGCAGCCTTGTCTGCAACCCCCCAACAACAGTCGAAGTGTTCATATCACTGAGGCTTCCAACATGAAATGTGCACTGCATGCCCGAGCCTGCCATTATGAACAACTTCCCGGCGTCTCGACACTCGAGTTGTCCAGCTACTACTTCGACGCCAGTCTCCCAGGCATCCACGACGTTGTCTGGGAGGAGATCAGGAAGCTACTTCCTGCCATCAGTTGCCCGGCTTTTATTTTGATTGCCGAGATTGTTTCGGAACAAGTTTGACAGGTATTTCAACCGAGACTTCTGCGAGCGAAGCGGCATCTGACAAACCAAGGGCAGTTTACGCCACAATGGCACGACGACCGCCACCGGCTGCCCCTTAGTATTCAATGCCAATTCAATGAGACACTCTAACGCCGAAGCATTCCTGACATCATGTGTAGGACTGTGCTCAACAAAGTACACCGAGGGAAACGTAGGTGATGCGAATGTGCGACCAAAAACCACTTTGCTACCACTGCATGAAGCCGACCATGTCTACCAAAGCAGCCCGTACCAATGAATTTGTCGGCGAGGGTTCGTGCCAAACGACCCTCGATTATGTCTCGAGGAGCAACCACGGGAGATTAAGGATTACCTTCGGCGACCTTTGTCCCTGATGCCGAAGGTGCTGAATCGAAGATTCTGAATCCCTGATTACCCCAAAGCTCCTCATGTCCATCACCTCAACAAGAGGTAAGCACGACTAAGCAGGTGAGCGGCGATGCAGTGACAGTGGATTTGGTGTCGGTTGTCGTCCAAGGACAATACCTAAACATTTGCTGACACCAATTTTCTGTGTCCACTCCACGAAGCACACAATTTCCAACTTTGAGGGAGAATGCCCCTGAGTGACTTGAAGGAATAGAATGGTTGGTTGCTCTCAAAAGTGAACTGCAAGCATCACCAGACTTGGATAGCAAACAAAAATTGTTGCCAGCTTTCAAGTCAAAAGTACAGCAAAAGGCACAGCCACGTAAGCAATACATGCCCGAGCTTGCTACATTGATGCCGAAAACTACCAGGAAAATTTTCGGATTAGAAGCCAGCCCTGCAGCTTCAGTGCACATGACGTATGATTACAAGACAGCATCAGTCGGTCAAAGTTGCCACTCGACCAAACTGAACACCGACGTGCCAGGAGCGTCATCCGACAACAAGGTCCACAGGTACTACGACTGAACGCCTGACACGAGACTGTCGCAGAAAGAACTCGTTATGGAACCATTTACTAAGAATCAATAATTATGTAATCAAGTGGAAATAAACATATTTAATACACTAACCAGATAAACATATTTCCGCTTGCCTTCATGCCTTGAGAGTCTACACACCGAGAATTGTGTCCATTGCACGCTCTGGACCTTACGAGGACACTGGCTTCTCTGACCCTTCAATATTAATTAAGGGGTCATACCAGACTGGCAGACTTCTTGCAAGGGGCTGCACTCGTTCAACCTTTCCTGAACATGTGATGCATCCGAAAACCAACTCCAGTGATGTGAAAATGTTATTTACTAATTTATTCCTTCCAGGAGCCTTCGTAGGCATCGCAGAGAGGATACTTAAAACTACACACATGATAATAGCATTAAAGCACACTGCTGTAACTTGTTAATTGGAAAAACAAACACACCTCTGAGCATATAGTTTAATAGTATGTGTTGATGCATTGTTATATAGCATGACACTTCCTATATGTATGACACAATAGACCCTTTGCAGAACCTTATCAAGCAACACAACCGTCACCATTTTTTTCGGCGCAAAGCACACAAATGGGCCCCAGTTCACGTCGAACGCCAATGCAGCATTCGAGTCCAATAGGTGCTGAGCCGAATTCACAGGGATGGCGGACATAACATTCTTGTCGAACAAATACCCAAAGTATGAAAGCCTGGGGTAATTACAGTAGTAGCTACTGTAATTTGTTTCATCAGAATTTGGCAGACGGCAAAGGCTACGGTCTCGGTGAGTCAATACACACATTGGAGAGAGGCACATGACAGCATATCACCAGAGTGCTCGTCTGCACAGATTTGTCACACACCTTCGCTCCGTCTCTCTGATTGGCACGAGGGGGCTGTGACGGTTGGCCTTTTCCAAGTTACAATGATGCGAAGTATAGACAGCCCACACTTTTAAAAAGAGTCTATTGAAGAGACCGAAAGGAATGGTAGTCAACATTTTTCAACAAGACTGCTCTCCAGGAAAGGGATGAACACAAATATGAATCATCTTATCCAGGTAATTAGAACAATTAAATAATTGACCGACTAATACAATGCACTCTTGATGGAAAAGAGTATAGCTGCAATAAATCCTAGAAAAAAGAAAAAATGCGCAGTTAATCTATGCATGCACCAAAACAGTTGTTCTTATAAAAAGTCGAATAGCTTTGAAGCAGGTGCCTGCAACGATTTATTCTTCCCCATACTCAATAAAACGCCAACCTCGTAGCTGAAAATAAGGGTGCACTTCGCACTCACACACACACCAAAAAAAAAAAAGGAAGAAAAGCGATCGAATGTAGAATCGTGGATTAGCACAAAAGGTTAAAATCGCAGGAGCTTCCTCGCTAAAAGTTGCTATGGTTGTTCGGTGACGGAGGGCTGAAACAACTTCCCTTAGGCCCTAACCCGACGTATACATTTCGCGCAGATTCTCAGATATTTCAACGTTCAAACAAAGCTAAGAGAATGCGAAAATTTCATGTTAAAAGCACTCAAAGTTCTATCGATCCTCGGACACATCCCGGAATCCAAGCACCGGTACGGCGATGCAGAGCTGATGCTGTCTCACAGGCGTTAATATCCAGATGATCCAGAGCGATCTTGCGCAAAAACGGTATAAAGTCTCATTCCTTCATATTTTCAAATTATACCTGCGTCAGCGAGCACGAAGAAGGCCGAAGTCGTCGGAAAGCAGCTGCACATCACGGCTACCGCGCACCGAACAAATTCGCATCCGTCAGCTCTGGGCGCTGCCATCTTACCTGTGACGTCACGGCTCTTGGGAGGTCACGTGACGAGTGGTCACATTTGCGTAAAATATGGCGGCAACCGGGGGGGTGCCACTTCCGAACTTCCGGTTTATCACTCTAAGCCCCTCTACCTCGTTGTCTCGTCCTCTCGTCCAGAGCCATTAGTCTGGACGTCTATTGTCCTCGGCGATCGCTCGCCGCAGCTTCGCTTCTCCCAGACTCCTCCCATAGGAGTGACGTCAGGCCTAGCAACCACCTAGCTACGGTAAACGCTGGGCGAACGGCGCGGCGTTTCGTTGCCGAGACCAGGGCAACGCGCGCGTGTGCAGGGCCGCATGGTATCCTGCGTGCAGACCCCTGTTTTTTTAAAGATCTGGTGAGAAAATGGACGGTTGTTGCGCGGTTAAATATTCTAATCAAAGCCGTCACACTTTTAGTTTTTTTTTTATGATTAAAAAGTAATAATAAAACGCCGCAAAATATGGCTGAATAAAGTCAAGCGCGACAATTGTGGATGCCTTCGGAAGGTTCCCGTTTTTTGAGGTAGAAATTTTTGCTTCATCTTGAAACCTTTTTTTATATATATATACATAAAACGCAACGGAGTTTCCGTCGCAGTAGCGAGGGAAACTAGCAAACTAGCTGCTACACATAGCTCGCATGTAATGTGCAATGTGAATAATTGCAGCGCGAGACAGGACATGCAGTCCCACGGTTGTAAAGGTTTTCCCGCTGCCTCCCTCTCCAAACCGCGAAGGGAATGAATTTGTTATTGTATTGATGCCTTTCAATAAGTGTTTTTTTTTTGTATAAAAAAAGCTAGTTTCGTTGTATTCCTACTGTAGGCCCGGATCGGCCAAAAATGAGGTCAAAAGAAAACGAGCGGGAGGCGCAAGCTCACGCGAGAGTCGAACGAAAGCATGCGGCCGACGATCCCGGCAGGTTCGTGGATAAACCTTTGACCCGGGAGATTTAATCAATGTAAATAGTGTAAATAAGTATGTCGGACCTAGTCGTGGTCCCTACATATTTTGTGACCCGACTAAGCACGCATTCTCCAGCGGTTTCATCATCCTCATGCCGAACATGGCCACCGGACCAATACGGAGATGTCGGTGCTGTTCGCTTTTGACTTCCACAGTTCTGGCCATCTGACCCGCTCCTGTGATTCGCCCAAGTAGAAGCCCAATTTTCTACAGCTAAGATCACAGGACAATTGACCAAATTCCACCAAGTCATAGGAGTCTTGTCATCAGAAGCTGCGACGGTGGTCCGTCGCAAATAGTGAAACCAGCATCTGCTTCGCTGTCCTCGTGCAACGTAGCAGGGGCTGGTGGCACTATTTCTCCACTGGGCGCGGTGCCGTCGGTGCCGAGAAGCGCTCCAATTTATGGTGTACTAATTGCAAACCGAAACTTAAAAACCCGTCGAAATTGTGTGGTTCTTCAAAAGCCGTAAAATACCGCGCGTGCGTTCTATCCTTCTGCAATTTGTTGATTATGATGCTCAGTAAGATTCTAATTGAAACCATGCCCTTAAACTCAATATTAAAAAAAAAAGATAATTACGCGAAAATAATTATCAATTTAATTTTTCCACACTTTAATAATTTTCCTAAATAGGCCTCTGGCCTAGGACTAGGACCAAAACGACACAAGCCTTTTTTTGGTGTGATGCGTAGTTTTCGCAACATCGAATGTACACCTTTTGTGAAACAGGCCCCTCTATGCTTTCAATTGGTAACTTTGCAACTCTGCAAATTGCTACCGTCCAAAGACAGTTCTCACTCCATAATGCTGGTCAACGTGGGGATATCCACATGCATTTGGCGCGAGGGCATCCAAGGGTACTGTGGCTTGAACGCGATGAAGACCTCGCTGATGACCGAGACGTCTTGCTTGACTTTCTGAAAAGTAAATCAGAGGTGGAAACCGTTTCAACCATCTGACTTCTGTTCAGAGCGCAACACTGCACGGGGCGAGTAGTGGCGATTGACTCGAGCGAACCATAGGGTCACTCGCTGGTCAGGCGAAATGGCAGATGAGAGGAGGTCGTTTTCATCGGCCGGCACGCGAGACCCCTTAGAATATTTTTGCGTTACAGCGTGGAATCAGTGTTACATATAAAAAAAAGCGTTTTTGACGGTAGAATTCTTTCTTGTTCTAGTCAGTACGTAAGATATTGACACGGATGAAGCATAAAAAGTATTACTGAAAACGATATGTCTTATCTCCTTTTTTTTTTCTCGCCAGTTTGATTTGAGAATTTGGTTACACTGTAATTTGGCCAAAGGGAATTTTTTTCATTTATTTTTTAGTACTAATTAGCTTTGCGAGATGGAAGATATTGAACATTTTCAATTCTCTTTGAAGGGCCCGGAGCTATGAGGTGTGTTCATTAATGCCCTTATGTCTACTATTTTGTTGCTATGCGCTCTCCGTCGTGTGCAGGAGGCAAGATTTTCAAAGATGCATCTGACAGCATCGAATATGTAGTGCACATAGGATTATGTGTTTTATAGCGGTGACACCTAACAGAAAAATGGCGGATTGACGTCACGTGAAAATGCCCTAATGTAAAATAGCAGCGCTGCAATAACGTCCTATTAGCGCACTCGGCCACCAAACCCTCCCGCTTAGCCACTGAGTTCCGTGACTGCCGTGACGGCACTTATCATCACATCAAAGTTGTAAAAGTTACTTAAAAAATGTACCTAAGATACAGTTACAGTTACTCATACGAAAATGTACCTAGGTGCGTATCTAGCTACTTGCTTAAAAATGTACCTAGGTACAGGCACAGTTACTTCAAAGATACTTTTTATTTTCACGTCAAGTATTTTTCTCAAATTTGTCACATTCTTATTGGAAGTAAATCCTTTGTATACTGGGATGTAAACAAAAACAAGTTTGATAAACGTGCTTTATTGGTGTCAATGTTTTTAGGAAGGAAGTGAATATTTTAACGCGAGCGCGTTTAGGAGCTCCTGTCACAGAAAATCCGTCGGATGTCGGTGGCGTGCCGAGAAATTCCTGAATGGTCAATAGGGTCGTGACGTCACAGCCACATGGCTTCGCGCGGGAATTTCAAACAACCTACAACGCTCATGTGAAACGTGACGTTACGCGTGGAATGAAGGTGGTTAAAGACGCGCGAATTAATGGTCGCCTCATGTTTCAAATGATCCCACTTGATAAACTAATTCATTTGCCTTAAAGGGGCGGTGCAACAATTTGCGGACTTTGGCTAATTAATTGCGGGAATTGATCCCGGCCACATATGAAACGAAGGACCGAAAACTATTCTTTCCTACTTGCCCTAGTTTTCATTAAAAAAAATAAAAGAAATTGGTATCTCTGGCACCCCTCAACTCAACATTGAAGCGGCACCAGCTTCGCCTCTGACGTCATTCGGAGTGGCGTTAGTTTCCGGTTGGGTTCTTCTGGCTTCCGTTTCCCCAGCACTCGCCGGCTCGCCAGGCTCGCAGCTCTCCCGCTCTCCCGCAGATTCCCGACCAACATGGCGCCATGGGCGGACGGCCTGAGCGACGTCGAGCGCAAGATGCTTGCGTATAGTAAGTCAGTTGGACTTGTGCGGCGGGCAGTCGACGCGGCGGGCAGTCGAAGTCGAAGTCGAGACACCAGGAACAATAACGATACCATGATACTACGGACCACGACCAACGCACTCCGTCGAGCGAGGGAAAGACAAAACGTCCGGGTTGCTCGTGTAGCCGCCGTAGGCGCCTCGGGCGTCGACGGATGATGGCGACGGCAGGTTTTGTTGACTTGCGGTAGATGGCGCCACAAATAATTCCTACCCTTTTAGCGGCAATATTAGGCTTTTGAAGCGTTTCTGCATGCCTAAACAACAAGATTTTTTAAACTTAACCTTAAATCAAGCTTACAATTGCCTAACACTATCACTTACAAAAACCACTCCGAATGGCGTCACACCACAGGTTCCATTTGCGGCCACCATGTGGCCGCAGGTTGGGAAAAAAAGCGTTTTTTATTTTGCGATTACGCAGCGAAATAGAGGTATTTTGGGGTATGGTGGCACTTTTTCTCTTACTTATGCCGAAGTAAACAATATAAAAAATACAAGCTGCACATTAGTTCAGTGTTAAAATCATTGCACCGCCCCTTTAAAGAAAAATTTGAAGAATTTACGCAGGATCGCACCCACGACCCTTCGGTTGCGAGCCAGACATGGCAACGGAGGGCTTGGGAATGGCGATGCGATCCTGCCGTCATTAGAGGGAATCGATGTCTGTCTGTGTCAGGGTAAAGGCATTATCGCATCGAGTGTTGTCTGCGCGTGCCGAGCAAACACATAAATAAACCTTGCGGGGTAAAATGGCATCAAAGCACTGGCAAAAGCTCCTGGATCGCGCCAGGAGTGTTGTATCATAAGAAATAGGTCGTTGTGTGACTCAAGAGCATGAGAAGCGATCGAGAAGGCCATGCGAACGGGGCCCGATAACTCTTATCGCGTTCAGCTCTTAAAGGCGAAGGTTAATCGTCCTCCCAGTTTTTTTCTTCACAAACATTTTCAGTTTTGTAAAGTGCAAAATTTGAGTTCGATTTATTGCGTGGAAACACTACGTGATGTTAAATTGCTTTACGACTGTAACTATAATTTATTTTCAGTTATATGTTATGTTGTATTTTCTATGATTTTGACGAAGTGAATAGAAAAGTACCTGTAAAAAGTAACTTCACTTAGTTACAAGTTCCTGGAAAATGAATCTAAGATACAGTTACAGATACTGCGAAATGAAAGTACCTATGTTTGTACCTCAGGTACAACAAAAGTACCTAGATACCGATTTACAGTTACTTGTACCTAGGTACTTTACAACCCTGCATCGCATGCAAATCACAAGTTCGATGGTGTGTGTATAAAAAGCTTGCTGGAAGCTTGGGGTCATTGCATTCCGAAACCAACATTATCAAAGTTGACAATCTGACGTTCTCATTTTCGCCTACGAAAGCAAAATGAATCCGACTGGCCAGTCGTGGAATGCCGACGACGTCGGCAAGGATAGGGATGTCGCTGTAACCACCAGACACAAAGGACACGGCACCGAATCTCAAACGGCCGGGAGGACTTTTGGTTCCTGTGAAATCAGGACCGCGCGATTTGTCATTTTGCTTTTGAGTTGAAGATGAAGTTGGAAAATTATTTCACGGTCCCTTTTCTTGAAACCGTACAATGGTATTCGCTTGGAATGTTTTTCACTTTACTCAAGCTTACTGGCACTAGTGTAACCCAAGTATAGGAGGTATTCACTGGACGCCATATTTGAGGGCGATGTTTAGAGCGCATGCTCAGAACAAGCCGCAAAGACGGGCAACCTTGATGGTGCTAAATGCACGCTCCAAAAGGACTGCGGAAGCTCGCCGTCAGCACGCGCTCAGCAGCAGCGCACACGGATATGGCCGCCAGTGAATACTCCCTATTCTCGCTCGCAAGGCCACTGTCCAAGAAACTCCTTTGTTGCGGTGTAATTTCACGAACAAAAGCGAGCGTTTTCCCTTCAATCTCTTCCTCCTCCGCAAAACTTCATGACGTATAGCTGGGGGATCGGCTCAGAGATTGAATCCGATCACTGCGTGAGCATTCGATGTGGGTTGGTGATAGTCAACAGCTCGACAATTGAGCATTCGGATAGTGGCCCGTGTCCAATCACCGCAATGACGCTAATGGCCGAACCATAGCAATGTCTGGAACTCAGCGCGTGCATGCGCTTTGACAGCCCCTGAGAGAGGTATTCGCGTCTCCAGCTCGACGCTCGCCTTCCCGCGGCGGAAATGGGAAGCGCTCTAGTGAGGGTCCCCCGACTCTCCTGCTCAGCGGGCACGGCGGAACTGCTCGCGATCACGGCTCGCGAAAGTCATTTCCGAATGCCAACAGCACTCTTCACTGTCCCAACGTAGTGCTGTAGCCGGTATGGGATTGTACCTTACTGGAGAGTTTTAGTATGGCGCATAGAAACAAACGCAAGCGGTGTGCGTTTGCGTTATATAGAGCGTGCCCCAGGTTGTGCGTGCGCTTCATCGCCAAACGCCATCCAAGACAATTTTGGGCTCCGCACACGTGCAGTGTGGAACACGCAAAGCTAACGCAAACACAGCGCTTGCGTTCGCTCCTATACGCAATACTAAAACTCACTACTGTTTCACCGGCTTCCAACGCCCACGAAACGCGCTGCAATGTGCAGACGTGCAAGGAGGCAGGCGTTCCTTCGAATCGGAAAGGCTCAGATTGACAAAACGACGGAGCGAATAAATGAAAGTAACTAAATGTTATAAAAAAAAATGGTAACTAAAAGAAAAAAAAAAGAAGCTCTTCTTTTTTTCTTCTTCTTTTTTTTTTTTTGGGGGGGGGGGGGGGGGGCGTTTGGTCTGGAAGGATATTGGCGGAGACTTTGGACGTCTCGCCGTCTCGCCGATTGTCAAAAGTCGCGACTTTGATAGGAAAATATACTTTACCCACAATTTATGTAATTTTACATAGATTTCTCACATCAGCTAGAATGTTTTCATTGATTTTAGACTTTTTATTTTCTTACTTGGTAATTAAAAATGCTGCGATGGACACCAGTGATGATAATTAGCACACTTTTGATTGTCATATTTGTTCGCGTGTTTGATATTAGATCATGAGCAACAAAATATATTAGAGTATAAAAAATTACGTATTAAAATATCTTAATTTTAATGTTATTATTATTGATACAAATCACGGCAATGTATGCCCCCAATTAACGCAAAGGTCACAAAAATACGCCTATTTAACCACAATAGTCTTTCCAGAAAGGCATAATTTTGTTTTCTTTTTAGCATATGAAAAACTCTGACATCGTTATCAAGCTAGACAAACAGTCAAATACTGGATGCA